CTAGGGATGGCAGGTGATCTGAGCTGATCCAGTGAGCCTCAGCCATGGGAGTTTGGCTGGAACTCTTGGAGAAATGGTGCTGTGCCCTCTTTCTAGTGAGACGGCTAATCTGCAAGAAATCAGCCTGAGGCTGCTGAGGGTCATCTTCCCACAAATAGGAAGATTCTGACCTATGGATGGAGGCAATCCCAGATGGAGGCAATCACAGAAGCATGACAGACAACTGGCGACAGCATGTGAGCCCTGGGCCGTCCTCTGGACTTTGCAGTTGCGTGAACCTATTCAGTCCCTTTAGCTGGGTGCGAGCCACCTGGAGATGATTTTCGGTCACGGACAAGAAAATGAGCCTCCTCTAATTCTGCTGATAGGAGTCTGGTGAAAACCAGCTTTAGATGGTTCATTGGACTCTATTGTCTGGATTCTGGGAGGCTGTGTGACCTTGATCAAATCTATCACTTCTCTGTGCCTCCATTTCCCTACTGGTACTATGTATTTCCTAGAGTGGAGGTAGAGCGCTCCAGGACTCTGTGGAAGATTCCTCCGAGAGTGTGCCCTGGAGCCCATGCTCTCCTCTCCAGTCTCCTAGCCCCAAGACTCTGAGTTCTGACGCCACAATTTCTTCACAAGGGCCAGATCCTCTCCCTGCACCTAACTTCACCTCCAGCAACTAGTCCAGGAAGAGCAGTGGGGCCCAACCTCAGTGTACACATCTGGGAACTGGGCCCCTGCCCCAGGACTCCTCTGTCTACTGGAGCAACCCTTGTGATTTTTGTGATCACAATTCTTGTTCATCATTTCATTCTCCATTCAGACAAGATCAGCCTCTGTGGACCGCCCCTCTCCTGGGCCCACGTAGCTGCATACATGGACAGAGTCAGGGATTAGAGGGATGCTAATTACACATTCCAGCTACTCTATTACCTGCTATGGCATCTTGTTCCTTCATATTTCAAAAAGTCACAGATTTCCATGCATGTAATGGGAATCATAAGCATCAGAAGTGAGTATCTTTGGCTGGGTTGAGTTGAATTTTCTCGGGATTAAATAACAGGTTGCAGCAGATACTGTCAGGCTCTGCCCATATTCCCTGGGGTCTCTTCACCATCCCCTTCACCATCCCCTCACTGGCCCGAGGCCAGAACCTAGGTCTCTTTCTGGGAAGGCTCTCCTCAGGCTTCTGGAAACTACTTCATCTACTGTTAAGGAAGAAGAGCCAGAAATACCTGGTTAACGTACACCTCCCTCATTCCCACTCTTTAACCAATGCCTGACAGCACAGGGGTACAAATGGGCATGAATGCATCCGGCCTCTTGTGCTAGATCTGAGCAGGTCTGAGACTAGATACTTCCAAGGTCCTCCCCTACAGGGCTCTGCTTGGTACCATATCCTTCCATTCCCAGGCCCACATTCCACCTCTCTCCTGTGTTTTCCTGGGGAGAGCTTCTACTAACCCGCTGTCTAATGCTTAACAGAGTATCTTACACACAGTTGGCGCCCCAGTAGTGAAGGCTACCTTACCGTTACAGAGTACCTGCCAAGTGGCAGCACTGGCTGCATAAGCACAAACAGAGCGTAAATCCCAGGAGGTGGACACATGTGTGCATGTACATATGTGCATGCACACATGCACAGTTCATTCCTGGCAGACACAGCAAACGTCCTACTTGGTATATGTGATGCTCTTCTAAGTCCTGTCCAATGGCGCCATGGAAATGTTACCATGAAGCCAATGCAAGAAGAGTGTAATACCTCTTGCTTTAAGACCTGTCCCCAAGCATAGAGCTGAACAACCTGGGGCTTCTATATATGGGTACCAGGTAGCAGGCAGCTTTCCAACGTGCCCATGAGCTAGGTAACTGAACAGCACAGTCACCCATCGCATTTATATTTCCCCTGATTTACCAGGATCTTGTGAAAAGATTGGCAGGACAGGGACAGGGCTAAGGAGAACCACATATTTAGGAGCATATTTAGGAAAGGAGGAGCCTGCTATGGGTGGGAAGGGTAAGGAAGCTCCCAGGCAGAGGGCCAGCCATGTGCTTGCTGGCTGCTCTGAACACCTCAAGCCCTAGCCTGGGTACTAACTGGTGTCATGGGGATGGTGGGACCCTTCCTGTGAAGGCACATGGGGATGTCAGGCTGACTCTAAAAGTAGCCAGATGAAAGCCTGGAGCTGCTGAGAGCCACTGTATCAAGAAAACTTCCCTGAGAGCGACCAAAGGAAACAAAGCTGTGAATTAGAAACACAATGCAAGAGGTGGTTTATCTGTTAAGCATCTCAATTCAGCCAGATCTGAAACCTGAAAAGTCTTTGTTGCTAAGCCAATTCAATCCCTTTTTAGTTTCAGCCAGTTGAAGAAAGGCCCTGTCCCTTTAAACAGAGGTAGTTAACTAGAGGCAGAGAGCCTGTGGGCACAAGTGGAAAGTCTCAGCTCACTGAACTATTGGTGCTTTTGTGCCCTTAGCTCAAAACTGGTACCCGTAATGTGAAAGTTACTTGAAAATGTGGGGCTTCCTCCTAAATCTATACCTACCTTTTCGTGCTACCCACATCTTACCATTCAGGTACAGGTCCCCCTCCCTGAAGGGTACTTCCTGAGACCAAACATTCTAACCTCAGCTCCCAAACCTTCACTTGAGCACAGACTTTGCAGTGAAGGTTGGAGGAGAACTGAGGCCTGGAAATTCAACTCTGCCAGACCTGGCCAGGCCCAGGGAGTTGATTGCTGGGGAGACACACTGTCCACTCAGTCACCTTGAATGAAAGGACAGGACTCCTCAGTCACCTTGAATGAAAGGATAGGACTCCCAAGTCTGCTTCTTTGGGAGTAGAGAGAAGAGGAAAGCCGGCAGAGTTACAGCAGCAGCCATTAGCACATGCCTAAACAAAGCCACCTTCCATCTGAAAGGCTCAGAGGCCAACGGGAACTAGAGGAAGTTCAGAAGACAGCTCTGCTGTGTCATTAATACTGTGCAAGTAGTTACCAGGTGAAAATCGGACTGCTGCTGCCACCCCGACTTCACAGGGCAAAAAAGGCATTTGCATGTTCTCTTACCAAGGAGAGGTACCAGTTCCCTCCAGGATTAGAAAAATGTTGCAATTCTTAGTAATTCTTCACTGATGGGCTTGATTCCCTGCCAGGCTTCCTCTCCCCGACAGCCTCCCTTTTGTGTATTAGAACAAAAGTCTGTGGGGAAAAAATAAAATCTGGAAGCCTGTTTAACTAGGAGCTGAGACGCAGCAGGGATTTTGCTTCATTTGCGCAACCCCTCCTCAGGCTGGACACCGGGCTGGATTAGAACTTCGGTGGTCAGTACAGCCTGGTACATAGCCTATCAGTCTGGGCTCTGCCAATTAAAATTTTAAGTAAAATAAATATAACACCTATGATTTTGCCCTTGACACACAGTACAAGAAATATGAGCACTATATGTCTGTTTTATCCTAAATAAATGAATGTGGCTCATGTATCACCCGCCTGCCCGCTCCTTTATCAACCTTTGTTGGTGGGCGGCAGCACTTCCCATCTCTGTAGTGCAGAAACCCTCGTGGCCTCCAAGGTCTTCAGTCTCTGGGGCTGTCACTTTCCAGTCTCCCTGCCTACCAATGACCTATGAGGTCCACTCCAAGGCTATGCTTCCAATCTTGCCACACCAAGCCTGACCCATATGCTTTCTGATTCAGTGTACCTAATATCTGGGAAGCTTCCCTAAGAATGCCCAGGAACTACCCTCTTCCAGGATCCCATATGTACAAGGCAGCATAGGTCTCCTTCCATCATCTCAAATTCCCAAATCCTGTCTCTGCGGAGGCTCACTGCCCCTCACCTTTTTTTTTTTTTAACATTTAAAAGATTAATTATTTTTATTAACATATAATGTATTATTTGCCTCAGGGGTACAGGTCTGTGAATCGTCGGGCTTACACACTTCACAGCACTCACCATAGCACATACCCTCCCCAATGTCCATATACCCCTCTCCTTTATTAGGCCATTTCTTCTGTTTAAGATCCCCTCAATGGGGGAATATTGGCTGGGAGAGGACACAGGGGGAACTTTTGGGGACTGAAATGTCCCTGTCTGCATCTGGGTGATGCTCACCAACACAGGGTGTGCAAATGTGAGATTCAAGGAGCTGCACATTCAGTGTCAGTTACTCAGCATACATTACCGCTCAGTTTAAATACCTCCACACACACAAAAAATTTGTTAGCTTGAACTGAAGGGGGGCAAATAGCCAACATATGGCCTCACAAAAGGTAATTTCATAGGTTCACGCTAGTAGTTTTGGGTGGGTCTGCCTACTGTGTGCTTTTAACAAAAATTGTTTTCATCCTTTAGGGGCAGCTGGGTGGCTCAGTGGGTTAAGCCTCTGCCTTCGGCTCAGGTCATGATCTCAGGGTCCTGGGATCGAGCCCCACATCGGGCTCTCTGCTCAGCAGGGAGACTGCTTCCCCCTCTTTCTCTCTCTCTGCCTCTCTGCCTACTTGTGATCCCTCTCTGTCTGTCAAATAAATAGATAAAACTCTAAAAAATTTTGTTTTCATCCTTTAAAACAGAAAATTTTACATAAAATTCTGGATTTCTGGTTCCAGTCAGAAACCAGGGGGGCACTTGATCTTCAGTTGTGGTATTTGATTTTGAACCATGTACTCAGGCATCAAAACACATAATCAAAGGCCCCAAAAGCTCTTCAGGAGGTACTGGGACTAGTTTCCAGGAGTACATGGGGGTGCGGAGCAGGGGCACAGAGTTGTGATGTGGGGATTCCTCTCATTCCTTTGTGAAATAATTATCATAGCAGAAAACAAGATTATGTTTCTATCAGGTTTCCCTGCTATACCAAATAAAACTGTCAAAGTAAAAAAATGCATATATGTACATATATGCGTCTATCTAGCTAGCTACCAAAATGTATATATTTTCTCTTTCTCTTATTTCCCTTAAATTTTCATTCATTAGTTCCTGTTCTACTATTTTTTTCTTCTCTTTCATAGGTTGCTACTAATTTCTTACAGCAATTTACAAATGCCCTACTACTCTAAGAACCATTGAAATCACAGTTGGGAACCTCAATAATTTCACCAAGGCAGAAGCTATTAAATGCAAACATTGGCAAAAGTTTTTAATGCTGCAGAATATCATGAAAAATGCCAAGGTAAGCTCATTGTTGCTGCGGATTTAATTCATCCTCTTCTTAAAAGCTAGAAATCCCCTCTCTGCCCAGCAGGACCCGAACAAGCCTTAAATGAGGGCCATGTGAGGCCACATCTGGCTGATTCCTCCCCTCCCCAAAACCCAGCATGGCAGCAGAGTAGGCAGCCCTGAAGGAACAGGGGGTGGAAAACTGCTAATTTTTCTCATCCCATTACAAGCTCAGAACTGAAATGGACACAACAATAGTTAACCCCACAGCCTGCAGACTCCACTAACCAGGAAAAGAAAGCTACCTTATATACTTGTTCTTCTTTATACTTTTCAAAATCATTTCCTTATAGGTACTCATTGAAACCCCAAAAAGTAGAGAAGCTGCCCTTGAAATTTGAGTGCTGTGGGGCCCAGAAAAGAAAGAGCTCAGTGTTGCTCTGCAGTTTGCCATCAAAGCCAGGGCAAACCAGGGTCTCTAGACCCCTCACTACCTCTTCTTTCTAGATCCAGGACACATCCCAGTGCTGCTAGAGCCAACACGTCATCTCATTACTGGCTGAATGAGAGAAGAACACAAGAGGTCTGCATTTTGGAGTCACAAATAGGAGAGCTGCTTACAAATTAATTAAATAAAAAGTTAAACATTTTTTAAAAAGCATACCAATTAGTTAATGTATATAAAATGAGCAAATTTCTAAGAGATATAACTACCAAACTACTATAACTACCTAAGCTCATTCAAGAATAGATAACCTGAAATTAAACTATGAAAGTAAATCCATAAATTCTTTCTATAAATAAAACCACAGTAACTTTACTGCTTCACTGTGAATTCTACCCAACACTTAAGAACATATTCATCTCAATTCTACATAATTCTTTCAAAAAAATATAAAAGAAGGGAGGGCTTTTGTGTGGCACAGTTGGTTAAGTGTCTGACTCTTGATTTCAGCTCAGGTCATGATCTCAGGGTCATGAGATTAGCCCCATGTCAGCTCCATGTCAGCTCCAAACTGAGCACAAAGCTCGCTTAAGATTCTCTCTCTCTGCCTCTTCCTCTGCTCATCCCCATCCTGCTCATATTTCTCTCTCTCTCTCTTAAATTTCTTTAAATTTAAAAAAAAAATAGAAAAGAAAGGAACACTTCCTAACTAATTTTATGAGGCCAGCATTTCCCTGATACCAGAATTAGAAAGGGACAAATCAAGAAAAAATGAAAGAAAGAAAGCAACAACAACAAACCAAACAACTGCAGATCCACCTTATCTCTTACAACCATAGATGCAAACATCATAGAAACAACTTTAGAAATGGAATCTAGCAACGTATTTAAAAATGTAATAAAACATGACCAGTTGGGATTTAACTCAGGGCACTCAAGATTGGCTTAACATCAAAAAAAAAAAAAAAAAAAATCAACCAAATTATTATAACCATATTAACACACTAAAAAAGAAAAACTATATATATAATCATCTAACTAGATGCAGAAAAGAAAATTAACCATTGAAAAAATTCAACAACCATTCAAGATAAAAATTCTGAGCTAACCAGAAATAGAAGAAAACTTCCTTAACCTGGGAAAATGGCAAGGTTGTTTGTGTTTAATACTTTGAGTCAATATTACACTGAAAATGCTAGCCAATGGAATAAGGCAGGAAAAATAAATAAACATCTGGTCTGCAAAGGAAAAAATAAAATCATTTTTAGATAATGAGGGGATGAGGGGAAGATGAGGGGATGTTACCTAAATAGAAAATTATAAGAAATCTACATACACAAAATTTACTATAATTAATAAGTGAGTTTTGCAAGGTCAAAGGACATAAATTCTATATTTCAAAAAATTGTATTTATTTATGCTAGAAGCAATACTTGGAAATAACTATTTGAAAAGCAACAGATCATCACCTTATTTATTTATTGTCAATTGATTTTTGATAAAGGTGTCAAGATAATTTAATGATGAAAGAATAACCTCTTAAACAAATGGTGCTGAAAAAACTGGTTATCTAGATGTGAAACACAGAATTTGAGCCCTACCTCATATCATATACAAACATAACTCAAAATGAACCAAAGACTTATAAGAGCTAAAACTATCAAACATTTAGAAGAAAACACAGGCACAAAATGACATGACCTTGAGTTGGGCAATGGCTTCTTAGCTATGAAATCAAAGGGCACAAGAAACAATATTAAAAAAAAACAATAAATTGGACTTCACTAAAATTTAAAACTGCTGTGCCTCAAAAGACACCATCAAGAAAGTGAAAAGACAACACACAAAATGGGAGAAAGTACTTGCAAATCATATATGTGATGAGTGATTTATATCTAGAATATATAAATAACTCTTAAAATTCAATAATAAAAAGACAGACAACCCAATTTAAAAATGAGTATAGGAGGCACCTGCATGATGCAATTGGTTAAGCATCTGACTCTTGGTTTTGGGTCAGGTCATGATCTCAGGGTCATGAGACTGAGCCCCACGTCAGGCTCCATGCTCAGCACACAGTCTGCTTAAGACTCTCTCCCTCTCTCTGGCCCTCTCCCCTACCCCTGCTCACTCACCCTCTCTCTCAAAATAAATAAATAAAAATAAATAAATAAATAAATAAATAAATAAATAATATTTTAAAAAATGAAGGATCTTGGAGGCCCCTGATTGGTTCAGTTGGTTGTGTCTGACTCCTGATTTTGGGTAAGGTCATGATCTGAGGATGGTGGGATTGAGCCCCACATTGGGCTCCATGCTGGGCATGGGCTCAGTTTAAGTTTCTCTTCCTCCTTCTCCCTCTCCTTGCCTCTAAAAATAAATAAATAACAAAAAATAAAATTAGTAAAGAATTTGAATACAATTTCTCCAAAGAAGATATGTAAATGGCCAATAAGCACATGAAAAATTGCTCAATATTGCTAATCACCAGGGAAATGCAAATCAATAAGAAGTGAGGAATGAAACACAATGAGATACCACTTCACATCCATAAGAATGGCTAAAATTAAAAGGTCACATAAGGACAAGTGTTGATGAGGATATAAAAACAATGGAAACCCTCATATTATGCTGATATGAATGTAAATGGTGTAGCAATGTGGAAGATAATCTAGTGGTTCCTTAGAAAGTTAAACATACAGTTACAGTATGACCCAGCAATTTCACTCCCAGATATATACCAAAGAGTAAAACAATAACAACAAATGTTCACATAAGAACATATATGTAAAAGTTCATAATGATGTAGAAATGTTGGGGTTCAGGCTTGATAGCCAAGAAAGAATTCTTGAGATGCCTTCAGTGAAGAAAGATGGTTTTATCTCTCGGCAGAAAGGGCTGCAAGTGGGTCATGAGGAGTAGCTGATTATATGCTTTCAAGTTTGGAGGGGTTTAGGGATAATCTAAGTCTCTAAGGAATTTTGGAAGCAAGGTTTCTAGGACCTTGAGCTATTGTTAGGAAAAGGTCATTTATTACTGTCCAGTAAACTCTCAGTTATGAGATGCTTCAGATGTGTACCAGAGGGCCATACATTTGGAGAATGATTGCTAACATGTATCTTGTGGGTAGAGATAAAGGAAGTTTCCAAAGGAATTTTTTATGTTAAAGTAGACTTACAGGATCCTGGGGAGTTAGGCTAAGATTGCCTGTTAACCTCAGCAAAGTGTCAGCACTGAGATAGCTTAGCTCCCAGATGAAGGTCACTCAGCCTGTTTCAAAGAATTGTCAATGGGCTGTAGGCAGTAAGGAAATTTAATTTTTTGTTTTGCTTTGGTTTCCCACAACAATAATAGGAATTCAGGAATATAATGCCCTGTTTTAAAAGTTGTTTTAAAAATATATAAACAAAAAATATGTAAAAGCCTTTTCAGTAACATTCAAAACCAGAAATATTTAGGGTTAAATGTATTAAGGTATGTGCAAGATTTGTAAAACAAAACAAAACAAAACAAAAAAACCCTATGAAATATTATTAAGAAAAAATGAAGAAGGGCTAAATAAATGGCTATACTGATATACCATGTTGATAGAAAGCAAGAGTCAATATTGTTAAGACTCCAACTCTTATCCAAAAAGATAAGATTGTAACACAATCTTATTGAAAATCTCATTAGGATTTTTTAATAGCAACTAAGGAGCCCATTCTAAAATTTACACAGAAATACAAAAGACAGAGACTGGGAAAAACTATTTTGGAAAACAAAAACAAAGACAGAAAAGTTGGAAGACGTTTACTACCTGCTTTCAAAACTTTTATAAATCAGCCTGCCTGGGTGGTTCAGTCAGTTAAGTGTCTGCCTTCAGCTCAGGTCATGATCCCAGGGTCCTGGGATGGAGCCCCACATTGAGTTCCTTATTCAGTGGGGAGCCTGCTTCTCCTCTCCCTCTGCCTGCTGCTCCCCCCTTCCCCCCCCACCCCGCTCATGCTCTCTGTCTCTCTGTCAAATAAACAAAATATAAACAAGCAAACAAAAAAACCCTCTATAAATCAAGAAAATTGTGGTTGGTTAGAGGGTTGACTTCATAAAGGACCAAGGAACTTTTTCAAGTGAACACAATGTTCTCTCTTGATTCAAACAGACATATACAACTCACAGGCTTCATAAATTTAGACACTTAAAATGAAAGCGTTTGATTGTATGTAAATTACAACACAATAATGTTGGCTTAAGAGTTAAGCAAATTTACTCAATGGACGTTAAAGTATATTAAACACAGCAGAAGACAGGTTTGTTAAAATGAAAGCAGAGCAACAGAAATAATCAGAAGCACAGAGAGAAAAATAATTGAGGAGAAAAAAAAATACTAAGAAGAGCATTTGTACAGTACAAAAATACCCAATTATATAAAATACCTACAAGTGGAGTTCCAGAAGAAAATGAGAGATAGAATAATAGGAAAGGAAAAGTATTTGAAAAACTAATGGGCATTTTCCCCAAATTTGGTGAAATACCTCAACCCACAGACTCAAGCTCAATAAAACCCAAGAAAGGTAAAGGCAAAGAAAATCACATGTAGATTCATTATTTTCCAACTCCTGAAAATAAACTATTCAGTGAAAATAGTCTTATTACCTATAGTGGGGGAAATTATAAGAATAATTGATCATCAAAAATAGTGAACGTAAAGGCACCTTTAAATTCTGAAGGAAAAAAACACTAAAAATTTTCAACCAAGAATTCTATGGTCAGCAAAAATATTTTTCAAAATAAACACAAATGGTGTCTGGGTGGCTCAGTAGGTTGTCTGACTCTTGCTTTTGGTTCAAGACATGATCTCAGGGTCCTGAGATTGAGCCCCGTGTTGGGCTCTGTGCTCAGTGCAGAGTCCTCTTGTCCCTCTCCCTCTGCTCCTCTCCCTCCCCTCTCTCTGGTATAATAAATAAAATCCTTTAAAAAAATATATGAAATAGACATTTTCAGATATATAAAAGCTAAAGGAATGAATAAACTACCAGTAAACCTGAACTACAAAAAATAAAATAAAATAAAATAAAATAAAATAAAATAAAATAAAATAAAAATAAAGAAAAAGAACATTTTCAGGCTTAGGGAAATGATACCAACCACAAACTATGATTTACAGG